CCCCCACATAGGTACTGAGTAAGGAGAGCTAAGCAGAATCCTGGCATAATTAAGGCCTGAAGAGTATCTCAGTTATTTCCTAACCCCCACATAGGCACCAAGGAAGGAGAGCTAAGCAGAACCCTGGCATAATTAAGGCCTGAAGAATATCTCAGTTATTTCCTAACCCCCCATAGGCACCGAGGAAGGAGAGCTAAGCAGAATCCTGGCATAATAAAGGCCTGAAGAATATCTCAGTTATTTCCTAACCCCCATATAGGTACCAGGGAAGGAGAGCTAAGCAGAACCCTGGCATAATTAAGGCCGGAAGAGTATCTCAGTTATTTCCTTCTATGTAATCCTTTATATAATCGTATATAAGTTTACAGAATTAGAGCTTGGAGAATACCTCAGTTTATAGTGTTACTACTTAGTTATTTCCCTTTATATAATCCTCTATATATAATCATGTTAGTTCATAGAGTGGGTGCCTAAAGAAAATCTTACCACTCAGTTACTTCCATATATCTATCTATCTAATCTATCTTAGTTCATTATCAGAGGAATGCCTAAACACAGTACAGATCATGAATTAAGGAATAAGCAGCTTATAGTTGTAGGAATGCCTACAGCAGACACAGTGCAGAGCATGATTTAAGGGAAAACAGTTATACCAGGGCAAGAACCCATGGCCCAGGCGGCAGCGTTCAGTATCGTAAAGATACCTGCTGTATGGCAGGCTTGGGCGAGAGCCATTCCTCCTGATAAAGGAGTTGTAGGACCTTGCTCCAGTTCTTGTGGAAGGCTGCCCTCAGACAGGCAATCCCACCTTGGTGACTGTGAACTTTATCAGCTCTTGTTACTGTGCTGCTTTTCAAAGCATTCCCCTATAGAACTCATTGGAAGCTGCCAGCAGGTGGTGTAGACCCTGACAGCTGTGTCTCTGCTGTGACTTAAAGCATCCTCCTATATATCTTCTTAGTAGCTTGCCCATAGAGGTATCACACACTACACCCTCCTCACCACACACTGCCCACCTTCATACCTCGGTGACCTAATGGGGGTGGACCCCTTACTGCACATGGTCCTTGCCTCAATGACCTAATGGGAATGGACCCCTTGCTGCGCACTGTCCACCTCCCAGCCTAGGTGACCTAACGGGGATGGACCCCTTGTTTTATTGCTCACGACCCTATCACTATCCTTAAAGATGACTTCACTCACTGCCCTGCGCCCTAACCTATACACAATAAATGCTGATGCTTCTGCACATTCGGGACCTGGTCTGACTCCGCTTATAGGTGGCGTGGCCCCCTGAGCCCAGCTGTTTTCCTTGTATTTCTGTGTCCTTTCTCTTTATTTCTCAGATCCTGTGCCTCAGCACAGCATAAGGGACACCCCACGACCCTGTGGGCCATCGGCCCTATACTAAGTAAGATGGCTAAGAGACGAAAGGCTACACCCTTCCCAATATTTTGCCCACAAGGAAATTCTGGTGAGATGTTAAAACTTCACCCTGGTGGCCGGGCACAGTAGCTCATGCCTGTAATCCCAGCACTTTGGAGGGCTGAGGCGGGCAGATCACTTGAGGTCAGGAGTTTGAGACCAGCCTGGCCAACATGGGGAAATCCCATCTCTATTAACAATACAAAAATTATCTGCGTGTGGTGGCACTCGCCTATAATCCCACCTATTGGGGAGGCTGAGGCAGGACAACTGTTTGAACCTAGAAAGCAGAGGTTGCACTGAATGGAGATCACACCACTGCCCTCCAGCCTGGACGACAGAGTGAAACTCCATTTCAAAAAGCTAGAAGCAATAAAACTTCACCATAGCGCCGGGCGCGGTGGCTCAAGCCTGTTAATCCCAGCACTTTGGGAGGCCGAGGCGGGTGGATCACAAGGTCAAGAGATCGAGACCATCCTGGTCAACATGGTGAAACCCCGTCTCTACTAAAAATACAAAAAATTAGCTAGGCATGGTGGTGCGTGCCTGTAATCCCAGCTACTCAGGAGGCTGAGGCAGGTGAATTGCCTGAAGCCAGGAGGCGGAGGTTGCGGTGAGCCGAGATCGCGCCATTGCACTCCAGCCTGGGTAACAAGAGCGAAACTCCGTCTCAAAAAAAAAAAAAAAAAAAAAAAACCTTCACCATAGCAATGCAAATTGATAGCTTATTTTAACACGTGCAGTCACCCTAGCCCATCAGATTGTTCCCCGCCCTCATTTCGTCTGTGTTGTCTTATGTAAAATGCAGATTCCCCATATTTTTCTTCTGCCCTTTTTTTACATGAAAACTCTGTGCTTCTCAGTAGTCCGCGCTTTCCCTTTTAAATCTGGAGCCCTCAAAATCTTTGGAGAAAAGCATAGACCTGTCTTCTGGGCACGTCCGTAACTCTGGCAAATAAATTTCCTAAACTGGTTGAGACTTGTCTCATCATTTTCTTCGACTGACCATACACACACACACACGCACACACACAGACACACGTCCACACACACAGACACAAGGACGGGTCTCACACCACAGCAGCCGCCTGGAGGCGTCGCAGCCCACGCACCCCGAGCGCCGCGGTCGCGCTCCCTTCTCCGGCCACACCCGGGGGAGCGGCTTCCCCGCTGGGCCACGCTGGCTCCGGAGCGGCGGACGGGGCTGGGCCGCCTTAGGGGAGGGCGCTCGGTCTGGGGTCTTTCTCCGCGGAGGAGGCCGCGCAGGAGCAACCCTGGCGGGACTAGCGGCGGAAACCGACGGACGCCTCGCAGCCTCCCGCCCACAGCGGCCCTGCCCCTCTCCAGCTTCACCGCCCTAGTTGTTTTGGGCCGCACCCGCCCACGTCAGTTCCCTGCTTTTAAGCAAAGTGTTCCCTCGCTCCGCAGCGCCGCAGCCGCGCGGTTCTCGCGTTTCCCCGCGTGGCGCACCCTCCGCGCAGTCCACGCGGCCTCCCCACGCCGCGCTCTCCCCTGCGCCGCCTAGTCCCGGGCTTCGATCCGCCCCTTTTGCTGCCCGCTCCCAGTCTCCGGCCTAGCGCGGGTTGTCGCCCCGCCCCCCGCCTGCAAACCCCCGTGCCCGCAACCCTCCACCCGCCCGCGCACGGCGCACCTGGCGTCGTTTTCGCCCCGCCCATTCGCCCACCTCGCCCACCCACCGCCTGACTCGCTTTAGTCTTCGCCCCGCCCATTCACCGCCCACCTCGCGTCATCCTCACCCCGTCCACCCGCTGCCGACCTCTCGTCAGTCCCCGCCCCTCCTCCGTCGTCGCCCCGCCTTGCGTCCGTCCTCGCCCCGCCCGTCACCTCCCGCCTCTCATCAGTCTTCCCCCCTTCGCCGTCTTTGCCCTGTCCGGTTGCGCCCAGTTTTCTGCGCGCCTCGCGTCGTCGCCCCGCCCACGCGCCGCCACGTCGCGTCAGTCGTCGCTCTGCGCCTGCGCCCGTTGTCTGTTTGGTCGCGCCCGGGTCCTGCGCCCCGCCATGTGGGCTGCGGCGGGCTGGCTGTGGGGCTCCCGCGCGGGTCTCCGGGTCCTGCTCCGCAGCCGCGATGCTGCGCTCGTTTCGGACTGCGCGCGGGGACTGCACGGCTCCGCTGTCTCCTGCAAGAACTGGCTCAAGAAATTTGCCTCCAAAACCAAGTAATGCGGCGGAGGGCGGTGTCCCCGGGCGTGGTATTCTCTGGCGGGTGGTGTCTCCGGGTCGCGGTGTCCGCGCAGCCCCGTTCCCGCGCCCACGCGGCCTGGGTCGCCGGCTCCTAACTGCTGGGGTCTGCAGCAGTTCCAGCCCTCACTGTCAGCAGTGGCGGTTTTTCTGTTCGTGGACGTGTCGGGTTAAAAAGCAAAGTGACAACCTGTGTTTATTTTGATTCTTGTCACCAGAAGCATTTTTCAGGAAATTAGTTTCAGCAAATGAGGGAAAACGAAAAAATATAAGAATTTCCTTGTTAATGTTGACTTTCTGTGTGGAGTTAATTTGAAGACTAAAACTTGCTTGTCATGATAATTAGTGTATTTAAATGATGAAAATTAAGTACAGTAAAATATATTGACTTTCTGCTAAGTCTGGCAGGGGGGTGTATGTTTTCTACTTTGATACACTACTTTTAAGGCAGCTTTAGACCCCACAGAAAAATTGCAAAAATAGTATTGAGTTCCTGTGTCCTGGTACCCAGCTACCCTTGTATTAACGTCGGACTTTAGCTCCAGACGTGGTCGAGTTAATGAGCCGATATCGATAAATCGTTGCTAACTGAAGCCCGTACTTTATTCACTTTTCCTTGGTGCTGCCCGCCGTCCCGTCCTATCCCAGGTCCCCACCCACGGTCCACGTTATCGTTACATTGACTTGTCTCCTTAGGCTGGGGTAGTGTCCCAGACTGTCCCTGTTTTTGATGGCTGTGCCAGTTTTGAGGGGTATTGGTCAGATGCTTTGCAGGATGCCCCTCTGTTGGAATGTGCCTGCTTTCCTTATGCTTAGACGTGGATTATGGATTCTGGGGAGGAAGACTACAGAGGTAAAGGCCATTATCGCACCCTATCCAGGGTCCACGTTGGCCGTGATCCGCTGGCTGAGGTGCTTGCCAGGTTTCTCCACCTCTTTTTGTCCCCTTTCCCTATTATACTCTGGGAGAAAGTCGCTGTGTATGGCCCACGCTTAAGGAGTGGGGAATTTTGCTCGTAAGTGATTTACATTCTGCTGGGGTCTGCAGCAGGTCCAACTGTCAACATTGGCAGTTTTCTCTTCGTGAAACTGTGTTGGGTTAAAAAGCAAAGTGACAATGTGTGTTATTTTGATTCTTGTCACCAGAAGCCTTTTTCAGGAGATTAGTTTCAGGAAACGAGGGGGAAAAAAAAGCGGATGTGTCTCTTCTCTGCCATTAATTCATTCATATCACTACGAACTCGTCTCATGTTACTTTATTTCGTTCAGGTGTTTCTAGCTCTGGCTCTCTAAGCTCCTATGTCCTGTTTGCATACCCTGTCATTGTGGGGTTTTGCTGGGTTTTTGTGTGCATTGAACACTTTCCTACTTTCTGACACTACAGGATGCTCCAGGCTTATCTTGTGTGTTTCCTACCTGGCCCTAAAATCAGCCATTTTGCCAAGGAGCCCTCGTTCCTTTTATTGGAGAGAGATATTAGAAATCATGGGTGCCGGGTGTGTTCATTGCTTCTGGGGTGTCTGTCTTTTGGGCCATCTCATCTGACGAAAGAGTATACATGTTTCTGCTAACCCGTGTGTAAATATGCACCTGTAAACATTTCTGTGTATAACCATCTGTCTCCAACTCCAGAGCACACTGTGTGGATCATTCTAGCCTCCTCTCCATGCTTATCTGTAAGTCCCACTCCAGCAGTGAGCTGAGCGTGGCTCCCACCATCCATTTGCTTAAGTGTTCAGTCTCAGTCTGTGCCTAGGACAGTATCAGAATCCTTTACCTGAAATTCCATGGGAAACATCTTTATCAACTAGAGTATAGTGTTTCTGTGCAGTTTGGTAGATATCTTTTTAAGATTCCCTCTGTATCCTTGGGACTAGAAGTAGAATTTAAGTAAAAATTACGAGGTTGAATTAAAACCATCTTCAGCCTCTTCCCCACAACCCATGTTGTTATCAATTAAGTTTTGAAATCTTTTAAGATGGCCAGTAATGTAATGTCTAAGTTTAGCCCCTTACAAATGGTTGTGGTATTATAACCTCTTAAATTAGCTTATGTAACTTTTTGACTTTGCCATGACTAACATAATGTTTATTTTCTCCCCAAAGAAAAAAGTTTTGGTATGAAGGTCCTTCCTTGGGCTCGCACTTGGTGAGTATAAGCCATGAGCCACTTTATAATCTTGACGGGAGTGAGGGTTTAAAGGTTGGCAAAATTCTTACCTGGAGGTCTTCCATTTCTGTATGAGAGGGGACAGTGTCTGTGTGGATGTGACCAGATGCCATTGGTAACATGGAGCTTTGACCTTAAAAAAAAAAAAAGTACTGACATTAATGTTTTCTCGAAAGTTATATCTTTTATCAAATTATAATATGGTAATGTCCATTCAGTTTTTTGTGTGTGTGTACCATAAAAGTTTATGCAATATATGGCTCCCATTCTGAATAATAAATACATCACATATGCTAAAAATTGCTGAGTTATTCCCTTTAATAGGGTGAACTTTATGGTATGTGAATTATATCTCAACAACAACTGTTTTTGAGAAAATATTTACTTGCAGTACTTTAAATCTTGGAGGGTTATCCGGTAAAATCTAAAAGGATCCTGGTTTATAAAAAACAAACTTTATCTTAATGAAAGCCGACAAGGCTGAGAGTAATAGCTGTTGTTTATCTGGTTGCCCATCAAGCCCTTCTCCAGCCCCTGTTGTATGAGTTGGTAAGTTTGGTGTAGAGTTGTAATGCTGCCCTTGGGGTATGCTCTTCTTCTTGATGGAGACTTACAAACCATCCAAGTTGGAATTCCTCATGAAGAGCACCTCAAAGAAAACCAGGAAGGAAGACCATGTGCGCCTGAGGGCCCTGAATGGCCTTCTCTATAAGGCACTGACAGACCTGCTGTGTACCCCTGAAGTGAGTCAGGAGCTCTATGACCTTAATGTGGAACTCTCCAAGGTAGGCTGTGTGGCCAAAGAGAAGAAATGGGTTGAGACAGCAGGCCTGGCACTTAGTTTACCTGGCCCAGTGTTGCCTGACAATTTAAAAAAAAGACTCTTTAGCATTTATAAAGTCTTAGTTCTGGGTTGCAGAAATGATAGTCTGGTCATTGGAGCCCTGAAGACAGATGATGGGTGTTGCTGTGCAGAGGCGGATGTCTCGCTGCAAGGCAGGACTCCTGTGACCAAACAGCAGCTGGCACATTGTCAGATAGTAGACAGTGTAAGCCTCCCATGGGAAGAGGGTGCATCTGGATGTACCTCAGTGCAGAGGTACAGAAGATGACTTCCTCCGACCCACTTAGAGTGAGTTCAGCTAAAGGGAAGTCATCAGGAGAAAAGACAGTTTTGAGCATTTTTGATTAGCGTCTCAGGGCAAGTGGCTGTGAGGCAAGCATGGGGTCACGATTCCGATTTCGTTCTGCAAACTGCGGGACCTGGTGGAGGGGGGAGGTTTTGGTTTCTGGGCCCCTGCTTCACCTGGGGGTGTTGTGCAGCAGCAGGTGGTGGCCTCCGGCACCATGCCAGAGCCCTGTCTTGGGTGAGAGGGGCTTCTGCAGCTGTTGTTTTCATCTTCAGGATATTGTTTATCTTGAAAACCCATGTAAACTAAAAAGTGACCTGTGTGTGGGTGGGGTCTCAGGTTTCTCTGACTCCAGACTTCTCAGCCTGCCGAGTGTACTGGAAGACAACACTGTCTGCTGAGCAGAACGCACGCACGGAGGCTGTCCTGCAGAAAAGTGCTGCGCACATGAGGTGATGACCTTTGCTTTCTGAATGTACTTGCTGTTTGCTCACACCTTAAATTTCTCAGCTGTTTCACTTGTAGATGGACTTTAACTTTTCATTGAGTATTTTTGCTTTTAAGGAAAATTTCGGAAGCATTTTCTTGAAGTTCACAGTATAATTTGCATTTTCATGTGAGCCATAATGTAGGGTAGCATTTCTCAAAGTGTGCCAGAATCCCTAGGGATCTGGAAATCCTGTCAGGGGGTTCATTAGGGTAAGATGTTATTTTCCCTCTCCTGCTGTGTTGACATTTACACTGAGGGTGCAGAAACCTTGAGGGAAGACTGCGGGTGCCATGCTGCCTGCCAGTGCTATAGGGGCATCATGCTGCATACCTGTAGTAAAAGACAATGTCACGTTCCTTAAGAATATCCCATCCCAGATGAGGCTGGACATGGTGGCTGTCGTCTGTAATCCCAGCACCTCAGGAGGCCGAGGCAGGAGGATCTCTTGAGGCCAGGAGTTCGGGACAAGTCTGAGCAAGATGGTGAGACCCTGTCTCTACAAAAAATTAAAAAATTAATCACATAGTTGCAGTACACACATGTAGTCCCATCTACTCAGGGGGCTGAAGTGGGGGGTATCCCCTGGATTTCTGTTACCCCTGGAATTTGAAGTAGCAGTGAGCCATGATCATGTCCCTGCATTCCAGCCTGGGCAACAGAGCAAGACCCTGTTTCTTGAAGAAAAAAATTTTAAAAAATATCCTAGACAGTTAGTTAAAAATTTAATTTTATTAAATCTTGACCCTTGAATGTGTCTTTTTAATATTTTTTGTGATGGGAAGTACATGTAAATCACCTGGCATCTGGAGAGTGCCGAACAGAAAAATATCAATGAGCAGACTGTTGAGGTTTGGGTGTTTGGCAGACATTCTTTAAAAAATGAGCAAGTGAACCTACCACTTTAGGGCAAACAACTGACTATATCTGTTGCCAGTGATAAAACTGAAGCTTTCAAGTGAAAATCAGAATTTTAGGAAACTTGTATTCACCACTGTGAGCTTGACAACTTCTAGGTACTTGAGAGTCTTCTGTGGAGATTGGCAGTGACATTAACAAACGTGCTGTTATATGATAAACTGTGTCAACACTTTTAAAATCTGTGTAACTAGGTGAACCATTGTTTTCCAAATGACCAGTACATGAGGTTACAAAACCACATGATGAGAGAAATCATTCAGTGTGAGCCAGATGGTGAGTTTTAATGTAGCAGAGTGTGACAGGTTGGTTGGTGTAGTTTCAGATTCCTCATTACAACTGACCTTTAATTTATTTATTTATTGGAGATGGAGTCTTGCTCTGTCGCCTAGGCTAGAGGGCAGTGGAGTGATCCTGGCCCTGTGCGACCTCTGCCTCTTGGGTTCAAGCGATTCTCATGCCTGAGCCTCCTGAGTAGCTGGGATTACAGATGCCCACCACTAGACCCAGCTAATTTGTGTACTTTTAGTAGAGATGAGGTTTCACCATGTTGGCCAGGCTGGGAGTACGTTTGTTGAGTTTCTGTGACAAAGAAGATCCATACTTTCTGAGGGCTGTTAAATTCTCTCTTTCCCAACACATATCTGTGAGGCCTGATTTTCTTATTTTCTTTCTTTCTTTTTGCTCTTTTCGAGACAGGATCTCATTCTGTCTCCAAAGCTGGAGTACAGGGGCACAATCAGCCTCAACCTCCCAAGCTCATGCAGTCTTCCTGCCTCAGCCTCCCATACAGCTAGAAGCACAGGTGCATGCCATCACACCTGGCTAATTTTTTTTGTAGAGATAGGGTCTCCCTATGTTAGCTAGGTTGATCTCCAACTCCTGGGCTCAAGCAATTCTCTGGCCTCAGCCTCCCACAGTGCTGGGATTATAGGCATGAGCTATTGCGCTAGCTCTTCCTATATTTCAACAAGAGTTAAGGACAGGGTGCAGAAGCAGCAATGAGATCCCAGCTGTCTTCCATGAAGCTGGCCTTGGAGAATGTGCAAATACGTAAACAATGCCATACTTCTCATTGATTTTGGGGGGGTAGAATATATACTTTTTTTCATTAAAAATGTCTATGTAAGCATTTAGTGGGTTTTTAATGACTTTAAAAAGACACAGCTTTTAGATTTCTCGGTTTTAGTTTCTAGTATAGTAAATATTAATAGATATAACCCATATAAACAAAAGCTCTTTGGGATCTTCAATAATTTTTAAGAGTGTAAAGGATCCTGAGACCAAAAATTTTGGGAATTGCTAAGCTGGGTGATAATAAAGAAATCATTCCGTTTCCTCCTCAATTTTAAAAAATGCAGAAATCGGCCGGGCATGGTGGCTCACGCGTGTAATCCCAGCACTTTGGGAGGCCAAGGCGGGCGGATCAGCTGAGGTTGGGAGCTCGAGAGCAGCCTGAACAACATGGAGAAACACTTCTCTACTAAAAAATACAAATTAGCCAGACATGGTGGTGCATGCCTGTAATCCCAGCTACTTGGGAGGCTGAGGCAGGAGAATTGCTTGAACCCAGGAGGCAGAGGTCGCTGTGAGCTGAGATCATGTCGTTGCACTCCAGCCTGGGCAGCAAGAGCAAAACTCCATCTCAAAAACAAAAAAAACAAAACAAAAAAACAGAAATCCAGCTCACTGACCAGCACTCTCAGAACTGGAATTCTTCCTTCCTGCCTCCCTTCTCATCATGCTTCAGGTTTAGGATGGGGACAGAAGTAGAGAAGGTGACCATGTGTGGGCTTTGTTTCAGGCACCCTGCCTGGCTTCAATACCACCCACACCCAGCATGATGATGCCCAGGAGCCTTTCTTAAACTGCATGTCAGAGAATGCTCATTTCATTTCTTACTGTTTAACAAAACCAAGAAAATGAGAAATTCTGGACAAGTGTTGAAACAGCATTGTTTTTTGATTTTTAGGTATCAAAAATTCAGTTGAGCTGAATGTCCCTCTTCCCAACTCCTGTGGTCACCCACAATTTAGGGTAAAGGTTTACCATAGCTGTGTACCAAAGATCTGTGGTCACGGCTTTCACTGGTTTTATGTGCCGTACCTGCATTGGCCTAGTCTGCATTGTGTGATGTGCGTGATGCAAGTATCATTTCTGTGCTAATATCTGGGAACCTGAGGGTCGTGTCATGCCAGTGCAAGTCCACTGAGCGCAGGAGGACACGCTGTTAGTACACAGACCCTGGAACCCAAGGCCACAGTGATGAGTTCAGATCAGGTTATTTATACAGATCTCACAAGTTGAATTGAGAAAAGTCAAGGTAATCGCAGTTATGATGCATATTGCATCCCTGTTGTGATGTGGTTATTGGCTAAAGATGACTTTTCTGGGCTGACGTTTTCATTTCTGAGTAATACAATAAATCTCACTCCTGCCTCTTAGTGCCATCTTAAATCTTATGTTCAGCATTGTCACACATCTCCACTGAGTGTCATGGTACAGCTGTGAGGGTTTGCACATTCTCTCTCCTAGGCACCTTTTGATGTCCCAGCAGACCCTGAGGAATGTGCCACCAATAGTGTTTGTTAAAGACAAGCGAAGTGCAGCTCTAGCTGAGGTAAGGCTTTCAGAAAAACTTTTTAAAAATTTAAAATTTTAATGTTTTTATTAGAGACAGAGTCTTGCTATATTGCCCAGGCTGGTCTTGAACTCCTGGCCTCAAGTAGTCCTTCTGCCTCAGCCTCCCAAAGTATTGGGATTAATAGGTGTGAGCCACTGGGCCCAGCTGATAACTAAGTTTTTATAACATAAACATTTATGTGAGCAAAATTTTAAATTTAAGTTTTAAATACTGAAAAGATAATGTACAGTTAAAGAGATGAAACCACCAAGAAGGGAACAAATGAGAAGTAATGAAAGGGAGTGCAAATGAAAAGGCTCCCCCTTGCTCTCGTGTCCCTGTTCCCAGCCCAGGTCCCCAGAGGTAATTGCTTTTTCTGGTTTTTATTGTTTTATGCTTATCACTATAGCTCTGATTAGTAAACACAGCCTCTGTTTCTTTGTGCATAAACCCCACATAGCCAGAGTTGCCCTCCCACGATTGTCTCCCCCCTCCCTCTCGGCATGGATCTGTCTGCTGTCGTTCCACACCATTGGGGCTTATGAGACTTAGGTCTGTCCTGTAACTATAAGTGCTTTTATCATTATTTTTCTTGCTTTAGAGATGGGTTAAATATAAAGATTAAGAACATGTAAATATATATTTATCTGGGTGGTAGTTACCTGGTAGTTACTAAAGTATGTTATACTTTCAAAAAGTCAATAAAAAATCAACAAATAGCATTTGCAGTGTTATAGTTAGGTTATTGTTATTCACTATAGGGCTAGTCTGCATTTGGATCTGCAGAAGAAAAAGATCCAGTTTGACATTTCTGGTTTTTCTTGATTATTGTACAGGTAACACTAAAAACATTAAGCTTGACAGATATGTGATTTCCCTTGCTAGGAAAAGAAACAAAGGAGTGAAGTTATAGTCTCTGCTGTAAGGAATCAAGGGCAGTTTAGTTCATGGCAATGTGCTGTGAGGGCATCAGCAAGGCATTCCCGGGGAGGGTGTGCCAGTCCCTTTGTCTGAGCCCAGCACCCCAGGCTCCTGCCTTTGGGGAGGGTGGTCCCATCAGGTGTTGTGGGTTCCCTTCCAGAACAGTCACTGGACCGGGGAGGGCGTGTGCTGTGCTTGAAGCATGGCACACACAAGGCAGGATGAGGACATCCCCAGATGCAGGGGACAGGCAGGCAAGGGTTCGGGTGGAATGCAGTGTCCAGCAGGGTTTGTGGGCCTTGCCCTGTTTTGGGTAGCATCCCATCTGCCCGGATGAGGAGTAGTTTTCTCTTGTAGTTTAGGCTCCCAGCTTTGTGACTGTCCCTATCATCTTTTGCCTTGTCTTGCTGGGAGGCCTTTGTCCCCCCAAGCACACACATTCTGTGGCAAAACCGAAGCATTTTACAAAACTACCTTAGAAACTAGTTAACGGTTAGTTGTTTAATTCAACTAACATTTAACTGATTTCTTCGTAAATTTGACTAACATTTACAAGTCTAAAATATAGTTTTAAAAAAGCTTCACTTTGTTATCAGAGAAAATGTGTTGTTAAAGTAACAGTAAGGTATTTGAAAGCACAGGCTATTGAACAGTTCCTAAGTATTTGGGAAGAGTCGATAGAAGGAATTATGCAAAGTCTAATCAAAAGTTCAGTGGTTAAGGCAATACAGGAAGGTGCAACGCTGATGTTACGTGGAGCCCAGCTCTGAGTACGGCGGTGGGGATATGGCTAACTGGTTTACCCTCTGTGTTCCCGTGCAGATTGATCAGTTACTGGCAGTCGCAGACTTTGGACCTCCGGATCAAAGAGACGACTTTGTGCGAATTGATTTCAGGTGATGCATGTGGGCATATGTTTTGATTCCCTGGGGTAGATTACTAGTCATGGAATTGCCGTTTTCCACATCCCCAGTAGCCTGCATGGTCCCCTTACTTTCCCCCAAGACTGTCAGTCCATGTTCACAGGCTGTGCTGTGGCCTGGCCACGTTTACACAGTGAGGGCCTCAATGGTCACCAGAAGTGTCTGCCATGACTCCCCCCGTGAGGAGAGGTCTCTTGTCCTCTTCAGTCACTCAACACATTGTTATTGAGTGCCTACTGTATGCCTGGTCTAGCACTTAGGCTGCAGCTGTCTTTGGAATCTGCATTTCACTAGGGGAGGCCGACAGGAAGCAGTAAACATTCACAGATGGGTCAGTCCTATGTGAGGAGTGGAGTAGAGGAAGGTGGGGCTTGGGAGAGCAGGTCGGGGGCGTGGAAGTTTGGCCTGTGCATGTACACACACATATACAACTTTTCCAAACATGTAGTGGAAACTGACAGAGCCTGCAGGTACTGAGGTGTTTGTGGAGGGCCCCATTCCAGGCATGCAGCTGCTAGAGCAGGCCTTGCCTGTGGGCCTTATACCGCAGCTTCGACATCGCCTGGGCACCTGCCAGAGTCAGGGTTAACCAGCCTGCCAGCTGAGCTGGAAGCAAAGCTCCACACTGTAGCAGGCCTGCCCTGACTGGGTCAGCAAGGGGCAGTTTGGGGGCAGCAGGTCAGGAAGCTGAGCCCAGGGTTTTGGAGACTTTCCAGAGTGGAGCCTTGGAGGATACATGGCTGTGACATGGCTCTGCTTAGGTGTTCACCAAGAATAGACTCTTCATGAAGGTTAATGAGTAGCAGATCTGATAGACACCACCTGTAATTCTGCTAGTTTAACTGATCTGAGGCACTGGCCATGCTTGGAGAAAAAAGTTGCAAATGCATTTTTTTTTCCCTGAGATGGAGTCTTGTTCTGTCATCCAGGCTGGAGTGCAGTGGTGTGATCTCGGCTCACTGCAACCTCTGCCTCCCAGTTTTAAGTGATTTTCCTGCCTCAGCCTCCTGAGTAGCTGGGTGTTACAGGCGCCTGCTACCACGCCTGGCTAATTTTTGTATTTTTAGTAGAGGTGGGGTTTCACCATGTTGGCCAGGCTGACCTTGAACTCCTGACCTCATAATCTGCCCACCTCAGCCTCCCAAAGTGCTGTGATTATAGGCGTGAACCACTGCACCTGGCGCAGATGCAGTTAATGCGTACAGGACAGGTGCATGTAGACTGTGCTGGCCAAATGCTTCTAGTGCTGGAGAATGCCAAAACCAAAACCCACTTTCCTTCAGTCTTGTCTCCAGTTACCCTTAAGTAGACTCTTGGGAGGGTTCACAAGTGAGCAGATGTAGGAAGTGTGATGCACTGTTGTGTTGTGGCGACAGCACTGGATTGGGGGCTTGGTTTGTGCTTTGTGTGAAGGTCCCTTTTCTCCCTTCCCAGGAACCCTGATGCCCTGCAACCCTGCGGCACCACAGAGCCTACCACAAGCTCCAGTCTGTGTGGGATCGATCACGAGGCACTCAACAGGCAGATTATGGAGTACAAAAGGAGGAAGGATAAAGGGCTTGGGGGCCTAGTGTGGCAGGAGCAGGTGGCTGAGCTGACAGTGCAGATGAAAAAGGGAAGGAAGAAGGCCAAGCCCAGCCTGGAGCGGGACAGCTCCCTCGAGAGTTACCTGTTGGGAGAGGAGGGCGAAGATGGCCTGGACCTGGATGGCGCCCCGGAGTACGAATACTGTGCCCCAGACACAGAGGAGTTGGAGGCTGAGAGAAGAGGTAGTATAACAGAGGATGACCGTGGCTGCAGAGCAAGGGGGGAGTAGATGGCATTGCGTCAGCTCTGTCCATCCCATGTTTGCAAGGAAAAGCATTGTCACGTGATGCAGCATGTTGCTTCATTGAGGCAGTTGATGGAGTTAAAACCATCTGCTCTTCCGCTGCTTGGACATTTTCTAGCTTTTCCATGTATGTAAACACAGTTTGCCCCAGAAAAGTCACTTGTTTTTAACCCCCATACACTATGTTTAATTTAAAAAATAAAGGGCCATATTATTACAGATTATCACAAAAAGAAAATGGTAAAATAGCGTCTCTGAGATGCTGGCATGGCCACCTTCACCTGCAGAGCCCTGCTAGGTGCCAATGAGTTCTTGGCCCAAGGGGTCAGACCACAGCAGTGGCGGGGATGAGAACTGAACCTGCAAACCTGGGGAGAGCAGACGGTCCCCAGGGTCTCCCGACACCCCCAGAGCTGCTGCGTAGGCACATGGCCCTGGGGCTTTGTCTCTGACTGGCCTCTTTAGCACAGCTTTGTGCAACGGGCTCCACCAGGCTCAGGCCGTGGTTGAGCAGAAAGTGAGTTGGCAGGTTTGCTGCTGAGCCTTCCTGGGCGAGCCTGGCTCTTGTCGTAGTTCCATCACACGTGAAGTAGCAGCACTTTTCCCTTGGTGGCTATAGCCACCTAGTGTATTTTCGAATCCATCCAAATATGCAGCATACTTGGTCTTTGCCTTCTAAAGAGTGTGTGACTCTGAGACACAGGCTGTAAAAGGCATCACTCGTACTGAATTCGTATCACCTCTAACACAGGGATTCATTTTGCTGTTTATCCGAAGAGAAGACATAGATGCTATCCCTTGTCAGCTACTATTTAGTTCAGCTTCCCTCTTGTTGCCCCAGCCTCTCTCAGCTGTCAGGTTCTAAATTCAGAATTCTCTAAATTCTGTCAGGTTCTGCACTATGAGTTGTGTCATCCCTCCAAGCCCTGGCTTTTTGCTGGGGCTGTGAGAATCAAGATGGCACACGGAAAGCATCTGTCCCAGGATCTGCACATGACAGGTACCCACGGTGCGGGAGCACAATCTGTGGAAGCAGCAGTGGCTTTAGTCGCTGTGCTCCTGCCAGCCTTCTCCCACGAAATGAGATATGTCCAAGGGATGGCAGACCCACAGCATTGAGCAGCCTGCTGTGCTGACCACTGAATCCAGGCCACGTGCTGCAGACGGTGGCCGTGGGTGAGTGATGAGGCCACTACCCAGAAAGGTGCTTGTGCACTGTGTGGGGTAGGAACTGTAAGAGATGCTGCTGCAAGATGCTGACTTCCTTGTTTTTCGTGTCATTTGTGCTCTGGGGCTAAGCTGTGTATAAGTCATCAAATGGCAGAAGCAAGATTTCTCTTTTCAGATCTACGAAATATTTTGTTTATACTCCACATTCTTACTTCCTATATTGGGATGGGTAGGCCACTGCCTTAGGCCACTTAGAAGGATTTAAGACAATTTGTAAGCATAGATGAAACCCCACATGATGGTATGAGTAGGAGAGAAAGAGAAAAAGGGATTCAGAAATCAGGCTACGAAGTGTACACCACACATGAAGGCTCATACCTGTGTTATACCATGAGCCAAATGTGTAGCTCTAGGGTTTCTGGTAGCCAGTTAAGGGATGTATGTGTCTGTGGCTAATCATTATATAGGTCAGGATAATGAGGTGATACTGTAGTGACAAACGGCAAATCTCCCTGGCTTAAAACAACCAGTTTGCTTCGTGCTCTTGGTAAGAGACCCTAGTGGGCTGAGGTCAGGCCAAGGCATTTTGTATCTGATGTTAGCGGAACATGGCTATGTGAATTCATTTATGTACAGGAGACCTTGCCATCCTGATGTTGGAAATGCATGGTGATGATTACAAGCACAACATCTTTAAAAATGTTTTTGTAGGCCTGGCATGGTGGCTCATGCCTGTAATTCCAGCACTTTGGGAGGCCAAGGCAGGCGGATCACAAGGTCAAGAGATTAAGACCATCCTGGCCAACATGGTGAAACCCTGTCTCTATTAAAAATACGAAAATTATCTTGGCGTGGTGGTGCGCGCCTGTAGCCCCAGCTACTTGGGAGGCTGTGGCAGGAGAATTGCTTTAACCCAGGAGGCGGAGGTTGCAGTGAGCCAAGATCACACCACTGCCTGGTGCCTGGAAACAGAGGGAGACTCCTCTGTCTCAAAAAAAAAAAAAAAAAAAAAAAAAAAAAAGTTTTTGTATTTCCCTAGCAAGATAATGTCAGGTTCTTAGGCTCTGTACTTGACCGTGATAACTCCATGAGAAAACAGCAGAACGCCAGCTTTGCAGGTGCATCTGCAGCACTACTGGGCTGGGAACAGGACCAGTGCTTGCACCAGCACTTGAGGGTTCCACATGAGGGATTCACATTGCAGCACTACCTGTGGAAGTCAGGCCCTGGAGCACCTGAACTGAAATGCTGCAAGGTGACTCAAAATGGAGACTGAGCCAGGCATGCCACACTTGGGAGGCTGGGGTGAGAGAATTACTGCACTGAGAACCTTGGGGCCAGCCTGGGAAACAGCAAGACCCTGTCTCTTAAAAAAAAAAAAAAAAGAAACGGTGATTGACTCAAATTATAATGACGCATTAAAAATGTACAAATAGTTCTTATATGGAGATCTCAAAACCCTACAATCTCATTTACATTTATGTCACTTCTGAAAAATATACAGGTTTACAGTCCCTTATCTGAAATCCTCAGGGTCTGGACAGCATGTTGCATCAAAAACGTTAAGATCTATGCAGATTAATACTGAGTGGCTTAATTAAAGAAGGCCCTTGGGGAAAAGATGACAATGCTAACAAGAATGGTAGTAAAAGCTACCGCGTGCCAGTGCACGCTGGGTGCCAGACACTATTGAGCCTGTCTGTGCACAAACTCATTTCTCACAGCCACCCCATGAAGTGGATACTGGCAGCCCCATTCTACAGATGAAGCTGCCGAGGCTTGGAGGGACTCAGGAACTTGGCTGAGGCATTCAGAACTGGGACTGTCATGACAAAGGTTCCACTGTTCTCCATGTGCTCCTTGGGGTCTAGGCGTTATGGCATGGAGGAGACTAGTCACCCACTTCTTGCTAACTGAAATCCAGTTGGTTAGCAAATGTTCATGGACCTTGGTAGATGCAAGGTCCTCCCTCAAAGCCAAGGTGTCAGGGTAGCTCCATTCTTTTTGTTTTTGAGACAGGGTCTCACTCTGTTGCCCAGGCTGGAGTACAGTGGCGTGATCATGGCTCATTGCAGCCTCGGGAGGATCAAGCTATCCTCCCGACACAGGCTCCTGAGTTCTTGCCAATACTGGGTGTAGAAATGGGCACCTTGGCCTGTGAAAAGTGACTTCTCCTTTTCCTGCCTCTCAACACTTGCTTCAAAATGTGCCAGTGAGGTGTGAGACGGCAGAGAAAGCTGGGCCCGGACATCTGAGCCATGAATGAGCTTCCTCCAGCTGTCCTGTCCCTTTTCTTCTGTTGGATGGGATGATGAGGCTCTTTATTGTTTAAGAGAAATTCACGTAGTCCTTTTGTTAGTTGCAAGCAAAGCATCCTGACAAATAAAATCACTGAGAATTCCCCAATTGAAATCCAGATGTGGCAGGGATAGGTATGAGGTTAACTCATTATTGGACATTTATACCCAGAGGTAGTGAGTTTATCAGAGAACAGGCTGTCACTTTGGAAAGCAGAGACTGAGGCAGGTGCATAGGGGCTGCAGTAGAGTAAAGACATAGTCTACCATGCAGGTTGTGTTAACCTGCTCCCCACTCCCAACTTGGGAAAGGTGTTAAACAAGGAGAGAACGCCCTAAGTGGTGTGTCCTTTGCATACACAATGCACCTGATGTGCCCAGACTATGTTCTAGCAATGTTATTGTGACAAAACAGGTTGTTGCCATCAGTTCGTCTCAGGTTCCTTCTAGCACATCTGACAGTGACTAGTGTCTAGAGCCATGAGGACAGGGACCAGAAGAGACAAAAAGGAGTGGGCAGAGGGAGGGGAAGGCAGAGTTAGGCCCAGAGAGCCCCAGGCTGCTACCTCAGATCTCCACGCCAGTGCCAGATATATTGGCTTCTCACAGCAGTCTTGCAAAGTTGTTCTCAGTTTTCAAATAAGGAAACTGAGGCCCAGGGAGTGGTGAAGTGCCTGCAGGGGATCTAACCAGCTGTCGGCTCAGTGCCTCCTACAAAGTGGAGTAGGGGCACATTTCAGAGAAAACTGGCTTAGGCTTCTCTGTTTTTGGTGTGGCCTTCCCTACGAGCAGGTTAGGGGCATGAAAGCTCACCCCCTCCTGAATGGGTTCACTCCTGGGGATTGCCGCAGCTCCCCAAATGACATGCATGCACACTAAACACCCAGCAGTTCGGGAGGCACTGATCGAGTGAAGTCCTCCAATCAACCTTGTGAGCTTTCTCCAAGCACCTGTCACTGTTAAACTGCTGATGAAACGTGAAATGACTTCACAGGTTTTCAATTTGATAAGCTCTCCTCTGTCACTGTCTCTTACCCTGTTAGTGTTGGTGAATGGTTCTCAGATATCAGGGCACATTCCCTGGGGGCTCATAAAACCAGACTGCTGGCCCCTTCAAGCTTCTGGTTCTCTGTGCCTTGGTAATGCAGATGGCCCAGTGAGCAACTCTACAAACATTTGAACATTTTGAGGTAGAGAAGGGAACTTCATCATCCCTTGTAGGCCCCCAGAAAACAAGACCCAACATCCAGTGCATGCCTTTTAGTTATTTTAAAACATACAATTAAATTATTATTGACTATAGTCACCCTTCTGTGCTGCTCCTCCACCTTGGACTCCAAGATCGTAAATGTGTCTGGACGCTGTATTTCTAAAAATAATTTTGTAGTTTCTTTTTATGGAAGGAATATATATTCTTTGTTGAAAAATGTAAAACAGATACCAACAGAATGAAGGAAACAAAAGCCCCATATAGTCTCAGCTCCAAGACACTCACTGTTAAATTTTGGTGTCGAGCCAGGTGCAGTGGCATGTGCTTGTAGTGCCAGCACCCAGGAGACTCAGGCAGGAGGATCAGGTGCAATCACTGTGCTTGCAGCTTCAAACTCCCAGACTTAAGTAAGTGTGGGACTCAAGTGAGTCTGGGAGTTTGAGGCTGCAAGCACAATGATTGCACCTGTGAATAGTCACGCACTTCAGCCTGGGCAACAGAGTGAGGCCCGGTCTCAAATAAATAAATAAATAACAGAATGTTAAATGAGCATGAGGCCCCCATGCCCACATGGACAGTAGCTTGAAAGGCCAGCCCTGATGTCAGTTAATCCTCAGCCCTTTTTGAGATATGCCATTTGCCCCATGAATGTCCTTTATGGCAGAGGGCCTGGTCCAGAGGCATTTGTTACGTTTACTTGTCCCCTCAATCCCATGCCCTGGAATGGCTCTTGGGCTTCCTGAGCCTTCATGGCCCTGATTTTGAGGAGTGTAGCCATTATTTTGTGGCATGTTCCTAAGTTTGGGCTTGTCTCCTGTTTTCTCGTGATTATATTTAGGACTTGTTTTTTTGGCAGGAACATCATAGCAGTGATGCTGTGCTCTCAGTGTTGGGTTGTACGTTCCTGGTGATGTCCACAATGATGAAGTGAAGAAAGGGGTGTCTGTTGGGCTTCTCCCTGTGAACTTACTCTTAAGTATGCCTTTTTTGAAACAAATGAAAAGAGAGACACAAGACACCAAAACCTCTTGTATGCAACAAAAGCAGTGCTAAAACAGAAGTTTATAGCATTAAATGCCTACATCAAACATACAGAAAGATCACAAATTAACAACCTAACATTGCACCTCAGGGAAATAGAAAAATAAGAACAAATAACAAACCAAAATTAAAGCTAGCAGAAGAAATAAAAAATATGAGGGCAGAACTAAATGGAGACCAAAAGAAAAATACAAAGGATCAATGACATGAAAAGTTGGTTTTTTGAAAAAAGGAAACAAAAATTGATAGACTGATAGCTAGATTAACCAAGAAACAAAACAGAAGATTCAAATAAGCACTGTCAGAAATAAAAATGGAGGCAATACAACTAACACCATAGAAATACAAAAGATCATCAGAGACTACTGTGAATATCTCTATGTTTACAAACTAGAAAACCTAGAGGAAATGGATAATGCCTGGAAACGTACAGACTCCTAAGGTTGGACCAGGAAGAAACGGAAATCCTGAACAGACCAATAGTGAGTGGTGGGATTGGATCAGTAATAAAAAGACTCTCCCAGCAACAGCAAAAAAGCCCAGGACCAGACAGATTCACAGCCAAGTTCTACTAGACAAAGAAGAATTGGTACCAATCCTACTGAAACTGTTCCAAAAAATCAAGAAGGAGGAAATCCTCCCTAACTCATCCTACAAAGCCAGTATCACCCTGATACCAAACTAGGCATACAACCAAAACAACAACTATAGGCCAATGTCCCTGACGAACTTTGGTGCAAAAATCCTGAGTGAAATACTAGCAAACCAAATCCAACAGTACATCAAAAAGGTAACACCACAATCAAGTGAGTTTTATTTCAGGGATGTAAGGATGGTTTAACTTATACAAATGAATAAATGTGATTCACCACATACACAAAAACAAAAACCATGGCCAGGTATGGTGGCTCATGCCTGTAATCCCAGCACTTTGGGAGGCTGAGGCAGACAGATTACTTGAGATCAGGAGTATGAGACCAGCCTGGCCAAGATGGGGAAACCCCATCTCTACTAAAAATATAAAAATTAGCTGGGCATGGTGGCACACATCTATAATCCCATCTACTTGGGAGGCTGAGGCAGGAGAATTGCTTGAACGTGGGAGGCAGAGGTTGCAGTGAGCCGAGATCTCACCACTGCACTCCAGCCTGGGTGACAGAGAAAAATCCCTCAAAAAAAA